AGACAAGTTACGGTCACATATTAACCAAACTGAATGTCTAAGTTTACCAAGGGCGACCAGAGAACTTACAGGCGTTTCTGAGAAAAACGGTATTTTATGTAGAACACAGGTTCTCTGAGTGTCTCTTGTACCTGAACTGAACTGGGTCCAATGGAACCAACCGCTGAAGCACCGATTTTTGCAGCGAGAAGAGCTTATTGTCGAGGGAATTGGAGTCAGGTTCCGGTGGAGTCCTGACTGCAAAGGGAGCCCCTGGGCCAGGAGTCGGGCTGCGGGAGATGGGCCGGAGGGAGGTGCCTGGGCTGGGCCGTGGCCCTGCACGCTACGGTAGCACGGGTTTAGTGTTCAAGCAGCAGTGGTGTTTCCCTGTCAGCCAGTCTGACCCCATAGGTTATGTCTGTGGGTTTTTGATCATGGGCCACTGCAGATTTGGCACGCTGGGGAGACCGGTCCTGTTCGAGCTTTCATTTCAACTTGGGGGAGAAACTTTGTTGCTGCCCACCACAACTGTGCTCTACTGTGGGAAAAAGAAATTTTTTTTTTTGAGACAGAGTCTCGCTTTGTTGCCCAGGCTAGAGTGAGTGCCGTGGCGTCAGCCTAGCTCACAGCAACCTCCAACTCCTGGGCTCAAGCTATCCTGTTGCTTCAGCCTCCCGAGTAGCTGGGACTACAGGCATGCGCCACCATGCCTGGCTAATTTTTCTATATAAATTAGTTGGCCAATTAATTTCTTTTTATTTTTAGTAGAGACGGGGGTCTCGCTCTTGCTCAGGTTGGTTTCGAACTCCTGACCTCGAGCAGTCCTCCCGTCTTGGCCTCCCAGAGTGCTAGGCTTACAGGCGTGAGCCACTGCACCCGGCCGAAAAAATATTTTAAAAAGCAGAAACTTCAGGGTTATTTAGTGACACTACATATATATTCCTTGCTTTACGAAAGGATTACTACCAGATCGTTTGTAAAAAGAAAATGTATTTGCCAACGATGCCAGGAGCCCCCAGACCACCCTTAGATTCGATGATGTGTCTGAAGGACTCAGAGAACTCAGAAGAGCTGTTGTTCTCACAGCTGCAGTTGGCTGCTGAGAAAGGAGCAGGTGCGTAGGATGGAGTCCAGCAACACCAGGCCCAAGCTCCCCCAGACCGTGCGGACAGCACCGCCCCCTCCACCAACAGTGCGTGACAACACACGTGGAGTGTCTCCAGCCACGGGAATGCACTTGGGTGTCCAGGGGTCAGTCCTGTAGGCGTGGGAGCCTGCAGGTTTGACCTTAGCTGCCTGGGCTCCGGCCCCCCGAGCTCAGATGATATAGCACACAGATGCCCAGGTGAATAAAACAGGCATTCACCATAACTTACACTGTTATCATAAACCATTCAGCATTGCTCACGGCCCCACACATAAAAAGACTCTTACCAGGCAGAACATCTCAGGGGCTCAGAGGCTATCTCCTAGCAGCTGGTCAGGGCCAGTCCTTTCTTCAGCATGTGCAGGATTCCGCAGCCCAACCTGCCAGCCAGGTTGACCCTTCACCACATGGCCACACCCTCCCCTGGCCTCAGTGCTCCTAACTAAATGGTCACATTTACTTGAGCATTTGTTCAGTGTAGTGTCTGTCTGACAGATACAGTATGACGGTGTCTGATTTTGGAGGAGCCAGTGTAGGGGAGGGATAGATTTAGGGAAACAACGAACACCCTCTAATGCCATTACATTCATTTTTGTATCTTTGACTATTAATAGTTTACTTGTTTCCCCCTTGATGTACTGGTATTTATTTATGTCTTGTGATTAATTGTGCAGAACAACTTAGCATACGATTAGCTGATACTTAGCTACACCCAGTTTTTCATCAGGCCAGCCATTCCCCCTTGGTGTTGCATCCACGGAGACTCTAACTCCGTCTCTGGTACAGTCGGTCACCCATCCATGCCAGTGTCACTGTACGACTTACTGGCAGAGGGTTAGTTACCGACAGAGTCAGTGCTGCGCCACATCGCAGTGTGGTAGCGGCACAACCGCTTTCACTGCAGAACAAATTGTGAATAGTTACACATGCTTTCTATGCCTTCTGAACAGAGTCAGGCCTTGCCTACATACCAGATATTATCATGGACAGGGGTTGGTACAGCCTGCCTGATCTGGCTGTTTCTGGGTTCTGGGGCAGCCACCCTGTCTTAGTTCCAGCGTGTGCTGTTACAGAGAAGGCCCTCCTCCTTCCTGTGGGGCACGTGGGTGTTCTTCCTGCCCTCTCCGACTGTACCAGAGGATGTGTGTTCTGTCCATTGGCCCCGGGTAAGGGCGGTCACTTGCATTGGCGTGAATCACAGGGGCCCCCAGAGATCTTCCATCTGTCTGGGGTCGATTCTCACAGGTGTAGCCCCAGAGCCACAGCCAGGATGGAAGGGTACTTCAGCTTCTGTCTGTGGGAATATTGTCCAGAGACCCTGCTGGGTGAGGTCACGGCCCTTTTCCAGTGCCAGGCTGTAGTGTCACCGTCATTGTGTCTGACCTGCCTGACCACCTTCCGCTGCCCCCCATCTTCCCAGGCTGACTCCATCCCTTGCCTTCCTCCTGGAAGAGAACGCCCTCTAATCTGCTAGCTCCAGTTAACACACCTTTTCCCTCTGAATGTCACCCCTCATTAAAGCGAAGCCAGCCTAGAACAGCATTCTCTTCTAAGGCCCTTCCTGTCTGATCGGCTAGTGCCGTTAACCAGCCGCACATGTTGTGCCATTGTGAGCTGATGGCCTGAGTGCAGTCAGGATGCATGTTTTATACCCAGAATCCTGGGCCTCCCATACCAGGGTCTTTGGAGTAGTGTTACACCTCAGGGTGACTTAGCGTGAGTAGGCCTGCTGTGGCCTCCCCCACCCAGGGTAGGGGTTCCTCTGGGAGATGAAACCAGAGTATGGAGTTAAAGAGACCACACAACTCTGAACAGTCTTCCTCGGTTACTCTGATTCCAGAGATCATCCTTTGTTGAAGTTGAAGAACGTCACCCTGACACCTCACATTGGAAGTGCCACGCACCAATCCAGACGGCAGATGATGAGGGACATGACTGACAGCATCCTGGCTGCTCTTGGTGGCCGTCCCATCCCCAACGAAGTGCTGCTGCACTGATTCCCAGGGCGAGGCATGGCAGATCCCTGGGGAAATCATATTTGGTGTACCTTATCAACGTCCCGCCCAGCACGTAGGCGCCTGTTATGTTGGCTGGGCAGGCTCTCAGGATGGGCGTGGTAGCGAACTTCTGTGGCAGCCGTGGTCTCAGCATCCTCAGCGCAGCTCTTGAGGGAACTTGTTTTTCTCATTCGTAAATGGGGCACAGAGAAGAACTGCTTGTCTAAAGTCTGGGCTTGCAAATAGCTGAATTTTGATTAAAGCCCTAGGCTTGGTTTTAGTTTGGATTTGGATTTGTTCTGTGAATTTCCTAGTGCACTATTGTGTGAAAAAACCCAGTTTCTCCCACTGCACTGTCACAACATGCTTGTAATGCCAGATGTGTGGGAATTTCTCCCCACTAGCAAGCAAGCAGTACTGTAGCAGATACCACCCAGGTGTTCTCTAATCTGTCTACCTGGGGATGGTGTCGGAGCCCACAAGTTGAGGGCTCAAGCCCACAAGACTGCCCCCCTTCAGATACTGGTCAAAAGTCCAGGCCTCTGGAACTTCTGACTGACTGGCTTCACCTTGGGGTTCCCAGGATCCCCTCTTTAGGTTCAATTAACTTGCATGTTTACCAGATTATTACAAAGGATATTTTATTTTATTTTATTTTAGTGTTGCTCTGTCACACAGGCTGGAATGCAGTGGTCTGATCATAGCTCACTGCAGCCTTGGACTCCTCAGCTCAAGCGATCCTCCAGTTCGGCCTCCCAAAGCGCTGGGATTACAGGCGTGAGCTGCCATGCCTGGCCATAAACGATATTTTAAAGGAGAAAAATAATCAGGCAGATGAAGAGACACACAAGGCAAGGTCTGGAAGGGTCCCGAGCACAAGAGCGCCTGTCCTGTGGAGTTGCAGGTGTGCCCGGCCTCCCGCACACCTGCCCGGTTCAGCTGCCCAGGTCTTTGTGCCCCATCCTGCTGGGCCTTTCGTGGAGAGCTGGTTAGGCGTGGACAGGCGTGTAGAAATGCCACCGGGCAAAGGGCGCGCTGTGGCACTCAGGCTGAGTGGGGAGGCCCAGCAAGGCCTCCCTGACAGCACCGCCGGCCGTGTCGCCACCGCAGTCGAGGGTTTCCCTGCAGCCGGATGGCAGGCAGGCAGGCAGGCGGGGAAGCTCAGGGCCCCGCCTGCGAGGAGAAGGGGTGCGGCCGGGCAGCAGAGCCAGGGCCTGTTCTCCGAGGCCTCCAGCGCCCGGCACTGTCACAGAGGACTAACACGGCCGAGGGAGATGGAGCGGGGGACGCGCAGCCACCGGGACCTCAGGTCGGGTCACACGCCGGCGCCGGTGCCGCAGCCCCGCGCCAGCGTCCACTCCGCCAGCGCGGGACTCGGTCGGTGTCGCGCCGTGAAGTCAAACGCCTCCTCCACGCCCCGCCCACACACCGCAGGCCCGCCCCACGCCCGCTGTCGCCCCGCCCAAACGCCGCCTGCCCCGCCCACGCACCACCCGCCTCGCCCAGCCATCGCCCCGCCCACACACCGCAGGCCCGCCCCACGCCCGCTGTCGCCCCGCCCAAACGCCGCCTGCCCCGCCCACGCACCACCCGCCTCCCGCCCAGCCGTCGTCCCGCCCACACGTCGCCACGCTCGGCTGTCCTGCCGGCCGCCCACACGCCGCTCCGCGCAGCCGTCGCCCCGCCCACACGCCGTCACGCCCAGCTGTCGCTCCGCCCACACGCAGTCACGCTCAGCCGTCGCCCCGCCCATACGCCTCTCCGTTCAGGCGTCGCCCCGCGCAGCCGTCTCCCCGCCTACACGCCGTCAGGCCCAGCCGTAGTCCCGCAGTCAGGTTGCTTGCCGCTGGTCCCTTGCCCTGCTCGCTGTCGCCCGGGTGTCGCGCCGCGGCATGTGGGCTCCGGCCGGCGGGCTGTTGGGCCCCCGCGCGGGGCTCCGGGCGCTGCTGTGCGGCCGGGACGCCGCGCTTCTTCCGGGCCGCGCGCGGGCCCTGCACGGCTCCGCAGTCGCCTGCGGGAGCAAGAACTTGCTCAAGAAGTTTGCCTCCAAGTCCAAGTAACGCAGCGGGCCGGTCGCGTCCACGCGGGGCGGGGGCGGGGCACGGGGCGGGTCGCATTCACGCGGACGGTACCGGGGTGTCGAGTCCACGCGGGGCCGTGTCCACGCGGGACGGTGTTGGGGTGGGTCCCGGGCCCCGCCCCACGCCCAGGCCGCGGCGCGCGCGTGGCCTCCCGGGTTGGGTGCCCACCACTCACCGTTGGCGTTTGCAGTGTTCCCACACAGTCTGCTCACGAACGAGTGTGGGGTTAAAAAAAAACAAAGTGATAGGTATATTTATTTGATTTTGGTCGCCGGAGCATTTTTCGTGACAGTAGTTTCATCCAATAAAGAGGGAAGGAAGGAAAAAAACGGGAATTTTCCTTCTGTGTTAAGGCCAACTTTCTGTGTGGTCTTCACTGGAAAAGCAGAGCTTGTGGCGACAGTTGCGGTGAATGAACCGACGCTGCTCTGTATTGCTCACTGACGCCCTGGTTCCTGAGAGCCTCCCTCGTTCCATGTCGTGTCTTGTCCCAGATGGGCTCCCCTAGACCGTACAGTGTCACAAACTTTCCGTGTTTGTTTTGTTTTTGTTTTTGTTTCTTGTTTTTGATGACCGTAACAGTTTTGAGGAGTGCTGGTCAGGTATTTTTAGGATGCCCCTCTGTGGGAATTTGCCTGATGTTTTTCTTATTATTAGACGTGGGCTGTGGAGTTTTGGGAAGAAGACCACAGAGGTAAAGTGCCCTTCTTGCATTATAGCGAGGGAACACACCGTCAGCACAGCTTGTCACTGTGGATGCTGGCCATGGTCACTCGACTGAGGTGTTGGCCAGGTCTCTCTGCTGTAGTGAAATGTGCCCCTTTCCACACTGTGCTCTTTGGGAGAATGTCACTATTTGCTGTTCATATGATGAGTGGAGAGTTACACTCATAAATCACTTGGCATTCTGCATGGGAGGTGTGTCTCTTCTCCCCCATTTATTAACTTATTCATATCAATATGAACTCGTGAGTTAAAATCCAATATTTATTTTTTATTTTATTTATTTTATTTTTTTTGAGACAGAGTCTCGCTCTGTTGCTCGGGCTAGAGTGCTGTGGTGTCAGCCTAGCTCACAGCAACCTCAAATGCCTGGCTCAAGTGATCCTCCTGCCTCAGCCTCATGGGTAGCTGGGACTACTCAGCCTCCTGGGACTATAGGCATATACCACCATGCCTGGCTAATTTATATATATATATATAAAATATATATATATATATATATTTTAGTTGTCTGGCTAACTTCTTTCTATTTTTTTAGTAGAGATGGGGTCTCGCTCTTGCTCAGGTTGGTCTCGAACTCCTGAGCTCAAATGATCCACCCACCTCGGTCTCCCAGAGTGCTAGCCAATATTACTTTATTTTGCTTTAATTGTTCCAGCTTTGGTCATGGGGAGCTCTAGCTCCTGTATCCCTTTAACAGGTCCCGTCATTATAGGGCTTCACTGTGTTTTCCGGCATATATGTGTGTATCTAGCACTTCTTTACTTCGTGGCACTACAAGACACTCCAAGTGTATCTTGTATATTCCTGTAGCAGCTGTAGAATCAGGCTTTCTCCAAGGAGCCATGGTTCCTTTTATTGGAGAGTGTTGTTAGAAACCACAATATGGGTGCTGGATGTGTTTGCTGCTGCTGGCCTGTCTTTTGGGCCTTCTCATCTGACAAAGCAAAAGATACATGTGTTTATACCAACATTTAAATATACACTCACCTATAAACACTTCTGTGTGCAGCCATGTGCCTCCAGCTCTAACGCACACCCATGAATCATCATCCTACCTTCCTCTTGCCTGGCTGGAGCTCCCACTCCTGCCGGCCGCTGTCCATTGTGTGCTCTCGGGGTTGGCAGTCTCAGTGTGTGCACAGCAGCATCAGGATCATTTGCCTCTGCTCCATGGGAAGCCACTTCATCAACCAGACTGTAGTGTTTATGTACAGGGCAGTAGGTATATTTTGAAGATACTCTTTCTCTCCCCTTGGGACTAGAAGTGGACTTGGAGTAAAAATATGAGCTAGAATTAACACCATGTTCAGTCCCTCCCCCCCAGCCCATGGTGTTGTCAGTTAAATGTCAAAGTTTTCTGGAGCTCCAGAAACAGAACTGTGTCCAAGTTTAGCCCTTTACAAATAGTTGTGTCATCATAAGCTGTTGAGTGAACATATACAACTTTTTCTTTTTTAACTTGCCATCACTGTCCAACATAATTTTTATTTCTTCCCCACAGAAAAAAGTTTTGGTATGAAGGTCCGTCCTTGGGGTCTCACTTGGTAAGTACAGCGTAGCAGCGGTGAGCCACTTTCTGATCTCGATAGGAGTGCACTTCCAACTGTGGGCAGGACTCTTGCTTGACAGCCTTTTAGTTTCTGTTTTAGAGGGAACAGCGTCTGTGTGGATGGGACTGGATACCATTGGTAACGTGGAATTTTGACCTTTTCAGAAAAAATGTTCTGACACTAATGTTTTCTAGAAAGGCATATATATTGTCAAATTCCAATGTGGTAATGTCCATTCAGTTTAGTGTGCGTGTAAACTGTAAAAGTTTATACAATAAATGGCCACCATTAGAAAAAATAAATACATCATGTACATCAACAACTATTGACTTGAACCTTTAACAGAGTGAATTTTATGGTATGTGTATTATATTTCAGTACAAATTTTTTTTTTAAAAAAATACATACTGGTATACAGGTGAAATCTAGGAGGATCTGAATCAGTAAACCAACCTTTATCTTCACGAAAGCTGAGGTGGCTGAGAGGAGTCTGTGTTGTGTCCAGTGGTCCACTGAGCCCTTCCCCCTTGGTGTGGGTCAGCAAGGTCTAGTGCACAGTTGTGATGCTGGCCTCTTGTGCTCTTTTTCCTGGTGGAGACTCACAAGCCATCCAAGTTGGACTTGCTGGTGCAGAGTACTTCGAAGAAAACCAGGAAGGAAGACCACGTGCGCCTGAGGGCCCTGAATGGCCTCCTCTATAAAGCGCTGTCTGATCTGCTGTGCACCCCTGAAGTGAGTCAGGAGGTCTGCGACCTGAACCTGGAGCTCTCCAAGGTACCCCGCAGGGCCGAAGAGCAGAAATTGGGCTGGATAGCAGGCCTGGCATTTAGTTCACGTGGCCCAGTCTTGCCTGACAGTTAAAATATGGCACCTTTTCTCACACAAAGTCTTAGTTGTGGGTTGCAGAAGCGATCATTGGTCTGGTCATTTGAGCACTACAGACAGATGGCCCAGTCTGTCATGCAGAGCAAAGGTTTCACTGCTCACAGACAGCACCTGGTAGAAGGTCTAGGGATATGTGTGCCCCTTTCCCTCAGTACGTGGATGAAGGAGATGCTTCCTCCAGCCCACTCGGTGAGGTCAGCCAGGGGAAATCAGGAGGAGAAACGGCAGTAGGGCTGTTTCACTGAGGGCAAGTGGCTGTAAAGCTTGTGCTGCAGGCTTGGGCTGGTCACCCAGGTGGCTGGTGGCACCTGGAGAAGGGGCAGGCAAGACTTGGGTCCAGGGTGTGCCCCTGGGACACTGGCTTTGGGGCGGGAGAGGTGTAGGGAGCTGTTGTTTTCCTGAATGTTGTCTGTCTTGAAAGCCCACATAAACTAAAATGTGATTTGCGGGTGGGTCTCAGGTCTCCCTGACTTCAGACTTCTCAGCCTGCCGCGTATACTGGAAGACAACTCTCTCTGCGGAGCGGAACGCCCACGCACAGGCCGTCCTGCAGAGAAGCGCTGCGTACATGAGGTGAAGGCGTTTGTTTTCTAAATGTACTTGCTCTTTGCTTGCACCTTCAATTTCCCAGCTGTTTCCCTTGTAGGTGGACTTTCCTAATTTCTCATTAAGTGTTTCTGCTTTTAAGGAAAGTTTTAGAGGTACTTTCTAGAATTTCAGAGTATAATTTGCATTTTCATATAAGCCATAGTCTGGGTCAGCATTTCTCTGTGGTCTAGGAGCCCTAGGGATCTGGAGATCCTTTTGGGGGTGTGTGGGGGTGAGCAGTTCCTTCACCTTCTCTCTGTGTGTGCACTGAGGTGTGCAGGCCGTGGTGGGAGCTGCTGGTGCCTTGTTGCCAGCGGTAGCCTCAGGGCCACATGTCACATGCTCACGGTGAAGAGTTTGCCACTTAAGAATATCTTTGCTGAATAAGCAAAAATTAGTCATTTTATTGACTCTTGACCCTGAGTACATGTCGTTTTAATATTCTGTGTAATGGGAAGTACACACAGATCACCTGCTGTCTGCTGATGGACGATGGTTGTGGCAGGGAAAAACACCGAACAGAAAAGAATGAGTGAGGCTGGGCACGGTGTCTCACACCTGTAATCCCAGCACTCTGGGAGGCTGAGGTGGGAGGATCACTTGAGGTCAGGAGTTTGAGACAAGCCTGAGCAAGAGCAAGACCCCGTCTCTACCAAAAATAGGAAAAATTAGCCTCTACCAAAAAAAAAAAAATCAGCTGGGCATGGTGGTGCATGCCTGCAGTCCCAGCTACTTAGGAAGTAGAGACAGAAGAATCACTTGAGCCCAGGAGTTTGAGGTTGTTGTGAGCTATGATGATACCACTGCACTCTACCTAGGGTGACAGAATGAGACTATCTAAAGAAAAAAAATATAGTGAACAGGTTTGAGTGTTTGGCAGACATTCTCTCAAAAACAAGTGTGTGAACCTGCCACTTGAGGGCAATCAACTGACCGTATCTGTTGCCAGTAATAAAATTTAGGCTTTCAAGTGAAAATCAGAATTTTGGAAAACTTATATTCACTACTGTGAGCTTGACAGCTTCTGGGTACTTGAAGACTCTTCTGATGACCTTGGCAGTGCCGTTAACAAATGCAGTGTTGTATAATAAACCTGGTAACCATGTCAACGTGTGGAAAATCTGCATAACTTGGTGAGCCATTGCTTTCCAAGTGACCAGTGTGTGAGAGGACAAAACCATGCGTGGGGAGATCTGTTCAAAGTGCCAGCTAGGTCGGTGGGTTTCAGTGTGGCAGAGCGGGACGTGTTGGTGTGGTTTCACATTCCACGCTGTGACTAACCTTTAACAAACGACCAGTGTTTAGCTGTCGTGTGGCATGGAGGAAGATCCACACTTTCCTAAGGGCCACTAAACGCTCTCTTTTCCCAATTACTTGTAACTCGGTGAAGCCAGGTTTTCTTATGTTTCCACCCGGGTAAGGACAGAATGCCGAAGCAGTGTTGAGATCTCGCTGCCTTCCGTTAGGCTGGGCCTTGGGGAATGTGCAAGTAGGTAAACAATGCCATGATTCTTGCTAATTTTTTTAATGGAATGTATAGTTATTTTTCATTTAAAATGTCTATGTGAGCATTTAGTGGGTTTAGTAGTATTTTAAGTGGCTTTAAAAAGACATGATTTTTACATTTCTCAGTTTAATTTCTAGTACAGTAAATGCTGATAAAACCCACACAAACAAAAAGTTCTTTTGGATGCTCAATAATTTTGTTTTTTTTTTTTGGGATGCTCGATAATTTTTAAGAATGTAAAGTCTTCCTGAGACCAAATATTTTGAGAATTGCTGAGCCTCTTTATTTTGAGCTTCTTTATTAACAACTTCTTAAGAAAGAAGTTGTTCAGTTTTCTCTTCGGTTTTAAAAAATTTGGAAGTCCAGCTCACCAGCCACCACCTGAGAGCTGGAATTCCTCCTTTGTGCTCTGCCTCTCACTTTTCCCCTCTGGCCTCCTCCCCTCTCGTCATGCCCCCTTCTCAGGGGAGGGGGCAGAGGCTAAGAGGTCAGTGGCACGTGGAGTCTGTCCTGGTGCATCCACATGGTCATCACTGACGTCCCTACAGCAGTCCCCAAGAGTCTCTCCAATTGCGTATCACAGATGGCCAATTTTACCTTTTAATATTAAATATTTAACAAAAGCAAGAAAATGAGAGATTTTCAACAAATGTTGAAATAGCATTGTTTTCTGATTTTTTTAAGCAATCAGAAAATTCAGTTGTGCTGACTGTCCCTCTTTCCAGCTCTTGTGGTCACCCAGGGCCTAGCGTCAGGTTTCTTCATAGCTACCTACCAAGGGCTGCAGTCACGGTTTCACTGGACGCATGCCGCACCTGGATTGACCACCTCTCTTTGCGTTGCATGACGTAATGCAATCTGGTACGACGTGTTCTTCATCTGGGGGTCCAAAGTCAGCTACTACCAGTAAGCGGTCGATCTGAAAAGGAACACACGCAGGGTGAGCAGCGAGCCCTGCCTCTGCACGCGTGCAGTAAAGCCCAGCTCCACAGGGCTCCGGCACGCCTCCTTCCTGCGCTGGCTCAACGACAGATCTTCTCACTGCACTGCACGACATTCCTTCGATTGACTCTCCCCAAATACTAGGACCTGCTCGACAGCTTCTGCTTTCAAACACCGTGTTGTTATTTTAACATGTTGCATTTTCCCTGATAACGAAGTGAGGCTTTTTTAGAGCTATAAAACTATATTAAGAACTTGTAAGGCCCGGGCGCTGTGGCCTCACGGCCTGTAATCCTAGCTCTTGGGAGGCCGAGGCGGGGCGGCTTGCTTCAAAGGTCAGGAGTTCAAGACGAGCCTGAGCAAGAGCGAGACCCGTCCTCTACTATAAATAGAAAGAAATTAATTGGCAACTGATATATATGATAAAAAATTACCGGCATGGTGGCGCATGCCTGTAGTCCCAGCTACTCGGGAGGCTGAGGCAGAAGGATCAGCTGGAGCCCAGGAGTTTGAGGTGCTGTGAGCTAGGCTGACGCCACGGCACTCACTCTAGCCTGGGCAACAAAGCAAGACTCCTGTCCTCAAAAAAAAAAAAAAAAAAAAACAGACTTGTACACATGTTAGTCTCTGGCTGTACACAGTGAACTCACCAGCCTGTATGTTCCTGCAGCTTTGGGAGGTGGAGGTGGGAAGACGTTCAGCTTGATGCCGCTAGGAGGTTCGAGGCTGCAGTCGAGCTGTGATTGACACACTATACACTCCAACGCTCGGGCTACCAAGGCAGACTCAACGGCAAAAAGATACAATACGAATAAACAAATAAAACTGTGTAACCAATGTCAGTCAATTTATGAAAGGCACAATTAGAACTTAGTCTGAATTAAATAACATTATTACTGGGTTTCCCTTTCTTTTTTTTTTTGAGAGCAGAGTCTCACCATGCTGTTGCCCAGTGGCTAGAGTGGGCGCTTTGGCCGTCCAGCCTAGGCCTCAAGCAAATCAAACTCCCTGCGCTCAAGCGATCGTCTGCCTCAGCCTCCCAAGTAGCTGGACTACAAGCATGCACCACCATGCCGGCTAATTTTTTTTTCCTATTTTTTCAGTTGGCCAATTAATTTCTTTCCATTTTTTTTAGTAAAGATGGGGTCTCGCTCTTGCTCAGGCTGGTTCGAACTCCTGACCTTGAGCAATACTCCTGCCTCAGCCTCCCAGAGTGCTAGAATTACAGACGTGAGCCACTGAGCCCGGCCACATTTACTGGTTTCTAATGTAGTTTTGTAAAATGTTTCAATTTTGCCATAGAACTTACATGTTTGAGGGAGAAAAAGCCTCCTAACAAGACAAGGTAAAACATGTTGGGAATTCACAAAGTCAGGAGTCTGGCTCTGCAGAGGTTGAGGGGACCTGAACACTGGGCACAGGTGACATTCTATGCTGGGGTAACAACCCAGACCTCACCAGACAGTCCTGCCCAAGCCTAAACCTCCTTGTTTCAACAGCCTCCAGGGATGCCCTGAGCAGCCTGTACCACGCATGTTCAGATCCTGCCAGACAGCTGCCTGCTTCAAGACAGCACCTGCCTCCCTGTCGGGTGACCATGCCTGGGCAGGAGCCCGCAGAGCTGGGCGGGGGCGGGGCCCTCCCCAGGGCAGGGGAGGTCGTGGGTGGGAGCTCCGAGGAAGAGCCCAGGAGGGTGCGGGCAAAGGCCTCCTGCTGTCCTCCAGGCACACTGCTACACCGACACTGCCTTTGATTCTTTACGCTGGGGACCGTCACTTCACTCTTGTCTCTTTTTCTAGCTAGGGAAATCCTGGATCTGTCAAGGTTATTACCTGTCTAATGCTTTAGTGCTACCTATACAACGAGTAACAAAAGACAAAATGTCAAATTAGATATTTTCCTTCTGTGGATCCAAATACTAACCAGTCCTACAGTGAATAATAGTTAGATAATTATAATATTATAAATGCTATTTACTTATTTTTGGTAAACATTTCTAAGGTATAACAACCTTACTACCTGCTAATCACTACCCAGATAAAGATATATATGTGTGTCTGTGTACAGGTTTTTAACCTTTATAATTAACCCATCTCTAAGCAAGGATCATCACAATAGAAACACTTATAGTCACAAGACAGATATAAATTTATGAGCCTCGATGGTGCAGAACAACAGTGGCCTGGTCAGTCGAGAGGAAGGAGGTGCGAGGTGGGGGCAAGCACAGGAGTGCAGTGCTGGCTGCCTCCAGTTTGTGAATCGAGGAACAGAGATTCCGTTTCCTTGTCAGTTATAGTGATAAGCATAAAAAGGTAAAGCCAGAAGACGCAGTCACCTCTAGGGGCTGGGAACAGAGAAACTGTGCATTATCTTCTCGGTATTTAAAAATTAAATACTCGGCCGGGTGCGGTGGCTCACGTCTATAATCCTAGCTCTCTGGGAGGCTGAGGTGGGCAGATTGCTCAAGGTCAGGAGTTCGAGACCAGCCTGAGCAAGAGCGAGATCCCCATCTCTACTATAAATAGAAAGAAATTAATTGGCCAACTAATATATATAGAAAAAATGAGCCGGGCATGGTGGCGCATGCCTGTAGTCCCAGCTACTCGGGAGGCTGAGACAGGAGGTTTGCTTGAGCCCAGGAGTTTGAGGTTGCTGTGAGCTAGGCTGACGCCACGGCACTCACTCTAGCCTGGGCAACAAAGCAAGACTCTGTCTCAAAAAAAAAATAAATAATTAAATAATTAAATACTCAACAACTGGTAGTTTATATGAGCACAAATTTAAATTTGTACTCACATAAAAGTTTACATGATAAAAAGTTAATTATTCAAAAACCTCACCTCAGCTAGTGCTGCGACTGCCTTGTCTTGAACAAACACTATCGGGGGCATGTTCCTCAGTGTCTGCTGGGTCATCAGAAGGTGCCTGGAGGGAGAGAGTGGGTTCTCGCAGCCGCACCACGCGCGTTGCCAAGCAGCCCGATGGTGGGCAGCAGGAGACAGGAGTATCTATCGTAGAACCCGAAGATGAAAACGCCAGTCCAGAGAGCCAGCTTCAGCCAGCTCCACACCACAAAGGGGTGCAAAGCGCATCACAACTGCAGTTGTTTCTCATTCTCTCAATGCAGCTTTGAGATCCTTATAAATGACTGACCTGAACCTGCGGTGTCCCTGCACATCCCAGGGGCCTTGGGCTCTGGGGCCTGTGACTGCCAGCTTGACCTCCACCTGGTGGACAGTCACTGGCACGACACAAACCTCAAGTACCTAGACTAGCTACGACTGTGTCTAGTGCCCAGACCCTTGCATAAAAACTACGTCAATTTCAGGTGATACATGTGGACGTAACTTTCAGTTCCCCGGTGTAAATTCCAGGTGTGGAGTTGCTGTCTTCCATGGCAGCTGCGCAACCTGTGCTGACCTCTGGCGCTTGCCCTGAGGCCCAGCGTCCACCTGCAGCAGGTTCATTTTGGGCCTGGCCACGTTTACACAGTGAAGGCCTCAGTGGTCATCCAGGACCCTTCCTGTCAGGAAAGGGGTCCCCTGTGAGTCTCTCGTCCTCTCCATTTGCTCAACATGGTTTTGTGTGCCTGCTAGCGCTGGTCTAGCACTGGCCCTGTCTAGCACTGGGGACGTGTCTGTGAACAGCAAGCAGTCCCTGTTTCTGGAGCCTGTGGTTTGCTGGGGACCGACAGGAAGCTGTAGATGTCACAGAAGAGTCAGTGTGTGAGGAGGGGTGTGTTGGAAGCTGGGGCTGGGAGAACTGGGGGGTAGCCTGCAGAGGTGACAGAGCCTGGGGGAGGCAGGGGTGTTTGGAGGGTGTTTGGGGGGGCTGTCCCAGCTCACAACACAGGGCAGGGTCCTCAGCAGCATCAGCATCCCCTGGACACTGCTCCCAACTCCAGTTCAGCCGCCTGCCAGGTACTTGTGACGCTTCAGTGTGAGAACTGCTGAGCCAGACACAGCCCCACGTGACAGCCAGCCTGGCACATCCGGAGTCCTTGGGGTGCAGTGGGGGGAGGTGGGGCAGGGAACTGAGCCCTTCCTGAGCAGAGTGTGGGAGGGTCCAGGGGCGTGGAGGCACCTCGTGCGAATGTTGCTGTCCTCGCACCTGAGCAAGGCCTGATAGGCTCCACCCATAACTCTGGCCTGGTGCCCTGGCCTCTTTATGATGTGTTTAATGACGACACAGGTTCCCATGTCGGGACCGTGCTGGCCACTGGGCTCTGACGCTGGGGAAGGGCACAGCCCAGCCCACCCTCCCTCGCTCTTGTCTCTGTCTCCCTCGAACTGACATCCAGGGGCTTCGCGAGCAAGATAAGGGAGTGCCCATGGTGGTGTTTGGGTGAGGGTGCTGGGTCTATGGCTTGGCTTGTGCTTTGTGTGAAGGCTCCTCTTCTACCCTTCCAGGGACCCTGACGGCCCACCCCTGTGTGACACCGAAGGACTGGCCACACACTCAAGTCTGTGTGGGATCGATCACCAGGCGCTCAACAGGCAGATCATGGAGTACAAGAGGAGGAGAGAGGGCAGGCTCGGGGCTGCAGCTGGGCCAGGGCCAGCGGCCGAGCTGGCAAAGCCCATGGTAAAAGGGAAGAAGAAGGCCAGGCCCCGTGCGGAACAGGACAGCTCCCTCAGGAGTTACCTGGCAGGCGAGGACGACCTGGATGACGCCCCAGGTCCTGAGAGCCACCCTCAGGACTCAGAGGAGGAGTGGGAGGCAGACAGAGGAGGCAGAGGCACAGATCACGGGCGCTATGCCGGTGGGTAGGTGGGCGTCAGCTCTGCCTGCTGTGGCTGTGGGGCCTGTACCCAGCCTGAGCATGTGAGAGAGCCCATTGGCATGAGGTGCAGCCTGTGACTTCAGTCGGCTGGTGGCTTCGTCTGCTCTTCTGCCACGCCCATGGTTTAGCTCTTCCATGTTTCTAAACGTGATTTCCTACAGAAAGTCGGTGTGGTTTTTCCTCCAACACTCTGTGTGTAGTCAAAAAAGTAAACAGCAAGTTCACAAATTCTCACAAAAGTGAAAATAGTAAAATAGTGTCTCAGTGATGGTGGCACAGGTGCCTCCACCTGCAGTGTGGGCTGAGAGCTGGTGGGTGGCAGTGAGTTCTGGGCACAGGTGCCTCCACCTGCAGTGTGGGCTGAGAGCTGGTGGGTGGCAGTGAGTTCTGGGCCCAGGGGCCAGCGCAGCAGTGTGGGCTGAGAGCTGGTGGGTGGCAGTGAGTTCTGGGCCCAGGGGCCAGCACGGTAGAGCAGGCTGAGAGCTGGACCTGCCGGCCCTCCAGAGCTGCTGAGCAGGACCAGCACCGGGGCTCTGTCCTCCAGGGGGCGCTGGCACAGCCTGTGCAGCAACTCCTCCTCCTGGCTGAGGCCGTGGTTGAGCAGATAGTGGGAGTCTGTGGGTTTGGTGGGGCTTCCTGGCTAACCCTGGCCATGACAGCAGGTCCAGTCACACTGGAAGCATAGCAAATTTCCCCCTCAGCGCCTGTGGCCGGCTCGTGTGTATTTTCTGAAGTGCGTCCAAACATCCGGCAGACCTGGTCTTTGCCTTCCGGAGAGCATGTGACCATGACACGGGAGCCATTAGAGTGCCTGTGAGTCGCACTCAGTCTTTTGTGTCACCTCCAAGGCAAAGGCTCGCTTAACTGTTTATCAGAAGAGAAGACACGCGTTACACCTGTAAGTGTCTCCTGATTCGGCTCTGTTTCCTCATGCCCTGGCCCCTCTCAGCTCTCAGGTCCTAAATCCTGCACTGGCTGCAAACTGGCCAAGCTGCATAGGCCGGCGTCACCTCCCTGAGCCCTAGTCTGCAGTCAGCACCATGGGCCTGGAGCTTACCACACGGTGTTCTGTGAGAATCGAGGTGGCACGTGGTAGGTGGGTGCTTGCTAAATGCAGGGTCGTTTGTGTGGAGAGAGCTGGTGCAGGAGCAGATCTGTGGTGGCCGGTGTGGTGTGTTGTGTACTGCAGTGGAGGCTCCGGCAGGGAGTTGGGTGGAGAGCCTCAATGACCCGCAGACAAGTATCTTCCCAGGGCAGTAGCCTTCTTCCCTCTGGGCCTTCCTCCCTCTCTGTGCTGCAAGCCCTTCTCACATCTCAGCTGTAAACGTCTTGGATTGGTGGCAGTCTATTTCCCATGGTGGTCCAGGAGTGAGGCAGCATCAGAGCCCCTGCCCTCAGGGTGGCTTTCCTCGGTTGCTCCTCCAGGTCCCCAAGGCCCCAGGACCTTGTCATAGGAGAAACCCGTTTTACATCAGAAACTTCAGGTACTTTGCAAACCTGCCAGCCACCATGAGGGGGAAGAGCCTGGGTGTATTTGTGTGTCCTAGGAAGAAGGGACAGAGCTGGAGGAAGGACGGTCTGTGCCCAGGTCAGCTAGAGGGAGCGGAGGCCTTTCAGTGCCTGGCTTGCCGGGGCAGGGGGTGGTGGGAACAGAGGGAGGGCAGGAGTTGTCTCTCTGATCGGGACCCAGTGGTCGTCAGTGTCTGTGGCCGATGCTGGCAAGCACACTGAAGTAAATTGATTCTGTATTTCTAAAAGTAACTTGTTTTTGTTTTTTGTCTTTTTTTTTTTTTTTGAGACAGAATCTTGCTCTGTCGACCAGGCTAGAGTGCAGTGGTGTCATCACAGCTCACTACAGCCTCAAACTCCTGGGCTCAAGTGATCCTCCTACCTCAGCTTCCTGAGTAGCTGGGACTATAGGCACCCGCACCACGCCCAGCTAATGAGAGACAGGGTTTTGCTCAGGCTGGCCTTGAACTGAGCTCAAACAATTCTTCTTCGGCCTCCTAGAGTTCTAGGATTACAAGCATGAGCCACCACTCCTGGCCTAAAAGTAACTTTATACTTTATTTTTACAGAAGTACTATATGTTCTTTGTTAGAAAAATCTAGAATATAAGATACCAACAAAATGAAATAAATAAAAGCTCCATGTACTCTAATCTCCCAGTGACAATTCATGTTAAATTTTGATGTAGAGCCGAATGTGTTGGGGTGTGTCTGCAGTCCCAGTGCCTTGGGAGGCCGAGGTGGAAGGATTGCTTGAGCCAGGAATTTGGGGCTGCAATGTGCCATGATTGAGCCTGTGAATAGCCACTGCACTCCAGCCTGGGCAACAGAGACCTTGTCTCTAAAAATAATTTTGGCAGGTATATTTTTCCAGTCTTTTTCCTGTGAATGTATTTACAAGATGGGATCATTTTGTGTACACTTCTTTTTAGGATAAGTTTTTATTTTGGAACATTCTCAAACTTACAGAAAAGTTGAAAGTCTAGTACAGAAGGTTTTTTCTGAACCATTTGAGAGTCAGCAGCCTACTTGATACCCATAACCACTGTTGATATGTATTTCCTATAAACAAGAACATTTTCTTACAGAACCATGATGCAACCATCAAAATCAGCATGTTAACACTGACATATTAATACATCCCAGACTGGTCACGTAATTTGTGGGGCCCCATGCAAAATGAAAAACTAGGGTGCCTTGTTCAAAACTAATAAATTCAAGATGGTAACAGCAGAGGGGTAACCGAGTGAGGCCCCACGCTGCATGCCTGACGCACCCAGCCAGCCCTGATGCCTCAGGTGCTCAGCCCTGTGCTATCTGCGTTTGCCCCAGTGCCGTCCCTGACTGCACAGCGCCTGCCACCCTCGCCTGGAACGGCTCTTCTGGCTTCTCTGAGCCTTCCTGGGATTTTGTGGTGTGCAGCCCAGTCGTTTGTGGGGTGTCTGGCAGTTCAGCCTGTTTAATGTTTTCTCATGATTAGATTCAGGACTGAAGTCTCCGGCAGGAACCTCATAGCATCAACTCTGTGTCCTCAGTTCTGGGCTGTCGGTTCCTGGCCGGGTTCACCGAGGTGCACTCAAGAAGGCTATGGCTGTCGGCCCTCCACTGAGGACTTACTCTCTTCTTGTAATAATGAGCATTTCTGGGGAGGTACTTAGAGATGATGTAAATGTTTAGTTTTATTCAGTTGTTTAATCAGCACGAACTCAGGGTTTCCTGTTTTATTCAGTAGTTATTCATTTGTTTTGATGTTTAAATTGTCCCTAATTTGGCCAGTGGGAGCCTGTATTAGTTTCCTGCAGCTGCTGTAACAAATTACCCCAAACTTGTCCCACAGCTCTGGAGGCCAGACGTCCAGGATCGGGGCGTGGCAGGGCCCACTCCCTCCAAAGGCTCCAGGGGAGGGTCCCTTCTTGTCTCTTTCAGCTCTGGTGGCCTTCAGCATTTCTTGGAAATATGAGAAACTATATATATATATGTGTGTGTGTGTGTGTGTGTGTGTGTGTGTATATATGTGTGTGTGTATATATGTATGTATGTATGTATTCGCATCTCCTTGCTTACAAGGTAGCATATTGTACATATTCTGAACTCTGCTGTTCTTGCTCAGTGCTCAGCCCCAGGGTCTAGAGAGCTCCCCTGGGGTCACCACACGGAGCGCTTCCTTAGCACAGTGCACCTCTGCCCCCTCGCTGCTGCACTGTTCCATTAAATTGCCAAATATACTGCGTTTCTGTATGTTATGGATTCAACAATATGTAATGCACATTGTTTTGTACAATTTCATTTTAAATCAGTTAAGTGAACAGTACACATTTGTTTTATATTTTATAATTATATAATTGCCTTTACTGTTGCTCTTCATGTGGGTTTAGGTTTTCATCTGGGGTCACTTGCTTCCAGCATGAGGAGCCTCTTTCATGTTTTCTTGTAAGGCAGGTTTGCTAACATTGAATTCCCTCTGTTTTTGTTTATCTGGGAAAGTCTTTATTTTGCTTTTGTCTTTGAAAGGTGGCTTTGCTGGATATAGGATTCTTGGTTGACAGGTTTTGTTTCCCTGTGAGCACTTCGAATGTGTTCTCCCCTCCCAGGCTCTGTGGTTTCTGCTGAGAATCAGTTGTTAACCTTGTTGAGGTTTCCTGTGTCGTTTTTCTCTTGCTGTTTTAGTATTTTCTTCTTGTCTTTTCCTTTTTGCTGTTTTATTATGATGGGTCTGTGAATCTTTCTTTGCTTATTCTATGTGGAGTTAGGTGTGTCTATTATTGACGGTTTCTTGTTACTTTGGGGACATTTTAAGCCATTTTCTTGAATATTTATCTTCTTTTTTCTCCCTTTCCTCCCCTTCTTTCCATTATATGTAAATTGGTGCATTTTTCAGTGCCCTGCATTTCTCTGAGGCTTCATTTTTCTCTCTATTCTTCTGATTGCATCATCTCTATTGATGTGTTTTCAAATTTGCTAATTATTTATCCTGCCAGGTCAAATCTATTATTGAGCCCTCTAGTGAATTTTTCATTTCAGTTATTATGCTTTTCAGCTGCAGAATTTGTTTGTTTTGTGAACTAAAATTTTTAAGGCTCACCTCTCCCCAAAGGAATATCCTAAAACTAAATTGCCTGACGGGAGGAAGGAGGTCAGGCATGCCTTATCATGCCCCCCCCCCTTCTTGGGGATATCCTTTGTAACCCATTAACAGGCCTAAGGATATGCAAGACAAACTTGCAGGTCCTCAATTTACACAACAAATCTATGTCTGGTGGCTTATCTCTGATAACAGCTCCTTCTGTTGAAACATTCCAAGACTTTAGACAAAGCTTCATGTCTTTAACCAATTACAAGCCACAGAATCTTTAAATCCACCTATATAACCTGTAAGCCCCCACTTCAAGATGGCCCACCTTTTCTGGCCAAACCAATGTATGCCTCTCAGGTATTGATTGATGACTTGACTTGTAACCCCTGTCTCCCTGAAATGTATAAAACCAAACTGTAACCCAGCCATAACCAGTCCACTTGCTCAAGGCTTCTTGGGAGTGGCTCCAGGTCATGCTCTTCAGATTTGACTCAGCATAAATCCCTTTAAAATTATTTTACAGAGTTTGGCTTTTTTCCACTGACAGTTTCTATTTTACAATTTCTGTCTGGTTGTTGGCATT